CATTCTGCTCATGCTATCATAACAGTCATACAAAGAATAAACAGAACAATCACATATTCACAGTAATGAGAGACTGAAGGGATGATCAAAAAGTGCCAAGGCTTCTGTTTTGAATCATCCCCAGCCCAATGTCATAGATGTAGCTATTGAGCCGAGAATAAGCAATACGGCCAGATTAATTTGGGATCCAGGTTGAGTTGTGAGCTTAAGGACTGTTATGATAAAAGGCGTAGTGGTCTGCAATTTGGGGGTTATGCCTATTATTGAAGAAGAAAATGTCTGTTCCTCTCATCTCCTTGATCTGAGTCTAAGCTTCTCATTTCTTTCTTCTATCTGTGTGTCTTCTCCTATATCCATAATTGTCTATATTCAGTATTTCCATTTCTACAATTTGAGTATTAGTTCGGCTACTAGTAATTGTAATAGCAGGGGCGGATGCACCTTGGGGTAAGCGGTGTCGGAAAATTTCACTAAACATATATAAATTATTAATATGTACAAAAAATATCTTATTAAATAAACAAAAATGACACAGCTTTACACCTACTTCTTGCTAGCTCTGCTGGTCAAGTGCTTCTCTTTTTAGGAGAGGTCCTGTGTTCAAACTTGTGCAGCTTCATGCTAAGTAAGATTTTCAGCGTTTTTTGCTAAAAAACTTGTTTTTCCTCCAAGTATGTTCCATGATAAGCTTTCTTACTATTTTTTCTTTCTATCTTTTTCTTGGGGGAAGATAAAGTTGGTCCGAACCCAAATTGTAAAGTCAAATAATGAAAGAGTTTTTAAGTAATTGCTTAGTGTTATATATAGAAAATGTAGTATTTACTATTATGTCTAGCAAGAACATTCTGAATACATTTCAAAAAATAAAAACTTGTCGAGGAGGGTTGTAGTATTATACTTGAATTCATTTTTTAATAAGATTCGAATTTGTATTATTTTTATGTGTATCGTGATTCATTAAATGCGACACCGCTTCCGAAAAATTCTGCGTCCGCCCTTGTGTAATAGAGTTTCGGTTTTTATCAATATACATTGAGATTATAGTATTCGTTACATTGGTGCTTTCATCATTCGAACTCCAATAAAAATGGTCGTATTAGATCGATTCAGCAGTGGATACCCATAGGGTTGGATTTTTCGGGCAGACCTGTACTTCACCTACCTTGGCTTCTCCGAAAAGGACTGGTTACCTCTTCTTTACCACTACCTTGATGGTGAAGCTCTTGCTTGGTTTGATTGGTTGTTTCGAAATGAGCAATTTTTTGATTGGAATCATTTTAAGGAGAAACTGAAGCTGCATTTTTGCACTCGAATTAGAGAAGCACCTGCTGGGTGCTTAGCCGTTTACCAGCAGCGCAAGCCAGTGGAGGATTTTCTAGCATGAGTTGCGGTATTCCATCATGGTGCAACATTAGCACCTCACCCTCGCCTCAGTATTAGAATAAGCACTCGAACAGCAACATCCTGAACGTGGCATACGAGGAAATGCCGGACACCTTCCAAGATGATAAAGCAGCAGCTAAAACTAACAGGAAAATGTTACGAGAGCTACTAATGACCGAGAAAGAGGAATTCATAGAGGAAGGCCAGGAATTCATGGTGCTTGCTGAAAATTTCCAAAAAGATACATGTCGGTTGCCTAGTCAAAATTGTCGATACGACTTCATTTCTAATTTCTTTTGTTGCACGTGAGTATAAGGTTAAAAATAGGATCATGCCAATTACTGGAATCAATTGTCCATTGGCAGACACCTTAGCGTTTTCTAGTCAAGTACTTTCATTGGTACCACACTCTGGTAGTTGGACTACAGATGCATAAGGGATATTGGACTATCAAATTCTAGTTATGTGGCCAAGTGGGTGACACAGGGCAGGAATTTATCATTGCTTCAGGGTGTGCATCTCTTTTGCATATTCCTTTAAGTTCTCCATCATATGCACATACACTGTTTGAAACAATTAGAAAAAGACGGAGTTATTTATTTGCAAAGTTGTATGATTGGGAGCTGTTAGGTGAAGCTAAATTTGGTGTTGAGTCCTTTGATGCCGTGTATCTTGATGGAATTCTCAAACGAACCATTAATAAGAACTATTGCTCTCCAACTGATACGACAACCAATTTTCTAGTATGGGATACAAAGTTGGCGTTAATAATTAAGCAGCCATCAGTATGTGATTTTCAACTTGTAGTATTGAGTTGCATAGTACTAATAGGCTATGCTACTTTACCTTTAGGTACTAAGAAGACAATTTTGATGGACGATAAACTTTCTATGCTGGGTAATCTTATCATGGAATCATGTCTGCTTTGTATTGATAGCAGTGAGTTGGTAGTCTCACCTTCCGATGCGAGATCTGTTAGACTTGCTTATCCATTTCCTTGTGGTTGCCGAAAGTCTGTAGTATCCCTAGTTGAACAAGTTGCTGGAACTTTCGTATTGGGGACCACGATCCATGAACTGGTGGTGCACTGGTTTCCACCGCGCATATGGAGAATTTCTGGACTCCGAAGAGTAAGCATTACTACTGCTGGAATCTACTGGAAAGTTTTACTCATTTTCATCTTCTTATTCTATGATTAAAGTGTGGGATCCCGGACGACAATGGTGTGTGAATTTCTATATTAGTGAAATAATTGAAAATATAATTTTTGGCTTAGAGATTAGTGATATATTGCTGAAGGCAATTAAATGTGACAATGCTGATTCACAAGTGGTAAAATTTTCTTGGTTTGGCTTACACTCACCAACAAATGCCTTGACATAGGTACCAGCTGAACCTTTGAGGTCATCTTCCGCCATTTCAGATCTTGTGGCCACCTCAAATCAAACGTTTGGTTCCCCACATGTCTTCTGTAATACTCTTGGATATTCCATTCATTTAATATTTGCACAAGACTTGAATAGTTGTTCTTCAACCATGAACAAGATAGGGCAGCGACATCCTAGTGCTAATGATGAACAACGAGCTAGCCAAACATCCTTATTGATTCGGCACATTAGCACATGTATTGCTTCTAGGTATGTGGTCGAGGTGGTTGATAAGCTTTGTGTGAAGAAGGTCAAAGAGGATTCAAGCATAGTAGAGCTTTTATGTGGAAACTACATAATACCTGAGAGTAAGGGCAATTACAAGTACAGGTCATCCTATCACCTCTTATAATAACCTCATTCATAGGCTTTGCAAGAATGATAATCAGGACGAGGCATTCATTTTGAAGGAATCAATGAGATTATTAAATGGTATAACTAGGGTGTACATAGGTCGGGTTGGATCGGATTTTTCAATTACCAAACCAAACCAATTGTGTCGGGTTATTAAATTTAAAGACCAAACCAAACCTATAAAAGTCAGGTTTTTTAGTCTCGGGTTTTTCGGGCTTTCGGATTATTTCGTTTTTTTTTTCATAAAGTCTTCATAGCACAAAATATAGAATTTGTACTCCAAATATTTCTTGGATTCTAGTAAGACATAACTATATAAGGTGATTTTCAAGAAAATAACATAAAATATGATATGAGCTATGGTATTGTACTAAGATATTCAACAATAAAGACAATAAAACATAAAATAAATATTATTAATATGCCATAATAAAAATAAACATAATCTAAAATTACTAAGTTGCTAAAATAAGTACGACTAACAAGTACTATTTTTACATGACTAAACACTATAAAAAAACAAGTTGTGTATTTTATCCAAATCATGAAAAAACTAAAAAAAAAAATAGATATCCAACACTATTGTCATTCCTGTACAATTTGATTGAGTGTCTTTTATTAGAATTAATATTTACTATAAAACTTATTGTAGCATTCAAGAATTATAAGTCCAAGTTTAAAATAATACGTTAAAAGATAAAATTATAAAAATATTTAAGAAATATTTATAAACTACACAACAATAAATATTTTTATGTATTAAATTTATTTGAAACTTCTATACATGTAATGTCGGGTTGGTTTGGTTCGGTTTGACTTTTTTTAGTTAAAACCAAACCAAACCAATTGTGGTCGGATTTTTTTTTCCAATACCAAACCAAATCATAGTGGGGTTTTTTTCTCGGTTTGATTCGAATTATCGATTTGATGCGATTTGTCGGT